ATGGACATCTGTGTTTATAGGGCTTTTGCGGTCCAGCCGAAAATTACAAGCATGGCAGTATGGGTACTAATGTCATCGTCATGGGGTTTCATCCAGTTCTCTCTTCTAAAGTAATTGTTTCAACTTTATAGCTGTAATCTTTGCTGTCTAAAAACATGTAGGGCATTCAATCGTCTGTGTTGTGCTGAATTAACTGTGACCCCCTGACGCTTAAGCCTGCAAACATCTAGGGCTTATGGGAAATGGAAAAACGAAATATTGCAAAAACAATATTAGATTGTTTTTTCAAATAACTATTGTCCTTATCTGGACATATGAGGCTAGTCACACTACATACTGTGGAGAAAGGCTCTGTTCCATGGCTGGATTCATAGTTATTAGTGTAGTTAGGGATGTCACCTGGATTTTGAAAGGTTTTCTTACAGAAGTTCTAGTTTCAGCTCTCTATGGCATTGTTGATTTAACATAACCCTAAAATTAATATTCATGTGTGTGTTGGGGATTAGCAGCAGAGAGGTCCCTCAAAGAGCAGAGCCTTTCTCCGCCAAATCTATACAAATAAAGTTTGATTGACTGATTGAATGCTTGTTGGACTGGCTGAGGCCACTGGGGAGACCATACAGGACCCTTCAGCTGGGACTGTGTTTCCCGTTGTTCAGTTATGTGACAGCCTCCTGGAGAAGTGAGGCGGCGCCTCAGTCTACTTCAGTCAGTGTTCAGTCCGGACTTGAAGCGACTCATACCTGATGCTTTGAATACTAATTGTCACGTCTTTGCTTCAGTTGATCACAGGATAGGGTGACAAATGATGCAATTAATTCTGAGCGAAACCAGCTGTGGCGAGCGCAAGCAAGTCCCACTAGTGAGCAGACGACTACCTCGCCGAGTGTGTAGCTTTCATAACAACCCTTTTCAGAGCCGAGAGAACGAGTGAGGAGAGAGCAGAGCTTATCCGCCTGGAATGACCCTGTCGCTTAAAACACTTCAAAACCAAGAGAATTCATACGCCAGGTGTAATCAACATGCTTTCAGACTGCATCTCAGATGGAAAATAAAGCTCCTGAAGGACAAGCTGTTCCTGTGGCTCAGACTTTCTGAGCCATTGAAGGGAGGATAATGGATGAATCTCCTCTGATTCAGTTGGCTCACCTTGTACCAGAGCTACAGAGATGAAACAGGGCCAGGCTGACCAATCAGTCCCTTTAATCCAGACATCTCCTCACCTGATTAGTTCCCTTGATTGTTTTGGCTGCTCTGCCAAGTAAGGGACGATAATTTGATAACAGGAAGCACATGTGCTCACCGTGCTTTTGATTATGGAGCAGCAGTCGTCAGATACAGGAAGGCGATCAGCAGGTTTACATTCAGGCTTGGTTCCATCTCATAGTTTGAGATGGTGTTTTAATAATGATGCATTGATATGTTGCGTGGTGTAAGACGTTTACAAAACTGACCCCGCATGCAAGCACACACCAAAACACCTACATTATTTACATAGCATATTCTCATGCACAAGTGTTGTTTACTAGTGAGTAAAATTACCCAAGATAAAGCAGATGTTACGAAATGCTGACATGCCAGTGTTGTTTATCACCCTCATTTTATTGTTTCGTGTTACTGCCGTCATTATTATTTACAATTGACTAACTTCTCAAAACTAATTGTTTTTGATTTAAACGTATTCCCATTAAAGAATGCACAGATTTTTAAAAAATTAGATTGGTCGAAGCTGATTTTTATAAAGATCTTTTTACTCTTAACAAGAAACTCATTTAAGATACAAATGTTATCGTGCACTGGAGTCTGTAAAAGTAATTTAAAAAGACCGTGGCAGACTGCAGAATACGAATGGTTCCTTTTTAAATCACATTTTCAGAGTCTTTGTGTTGATATGATTTCCACACTTACCGACAGTACATAGTGTTTCTACAGCTTTTTTTTTTCTATTCTAGTTATATGATTATATTCTCCACATTTCTCCTTGATGAATATCACTTTTTACTGACACTTTAACCAAAGTTTGCTGCTCACGTCTTCATCTAATTTCATAGTAAGACGCAAAGCAGTCCAGACGTCCCTCTCCCCAGGAACCTTTTCCAGCTCTTCCTGGAGGATACCGAGGCGTTCCCAGGCCGGATGAGATATATAATCTCTCCAGTGTGTTCTGGGTCTACCTTGAGGCCTCCTACCAGTTGTTCGTGCCTGGAAGACCTCCAATGGAAGACACCCAGGAGGGATCTTAGTCAGATCAACTGGTTCCTTTAGAGGTGAAGGAGCAACGAGCCAGAGTTCCTTACCCTATCTCTACAGCAGAGCCCAGCCGACTCACTCATTCTTTCGGTCATTACCCAGAGCTCATGGCCACAGGTGAGGGTCAGAAAGAAGATCGACTGGTAAATCGAGAGCTTTTCCTTCTGGCTCAGCTCCATCTTCGCCACAACGGTCCAGCGCAAACGCTTGTTTTACTGCTGACGCTGCGCCAATCCACATTTCGATGTGCTGCTCCATCCTACCCTCCCTCGTGAACAAGAAAATGGATGGATGGACATCATTCATGGTTCTCTTAGGTTTCAGAATTGGGCAGCAAATAGCTGTATCTTCTGTCATTAGATTACCTTTTAATGGAGTTTTGAGAGTTGTTTTTTTCTTCTCATGGATGAGGTAGAAAGTGGTATGATTCTCTGTGGACTCAGACTGCCAGTGGCTGTAACCCAGAGGTTGGCGGTGGTTCTCCTTTAATGAGGAACCTGCATACAGTGATTAGTTCCCTGGTCGTGGGAGCTCACTGACTTTTTCAACTCCTGACATTTGCCATTGAGGCTCCAGCGCTTTTCACTCCTCTGAACACCCTCTGAAGAAGGTGAAGAGGAGGAGGATGGGAGAAAGTGATCCCTCAGCCTATAATTAAGTGAAATATATGGATCTACTAATCTGAGCTACATTTATTAAAAAGAGATAAAAACTGATTTCAACAGTATCTCCTGAATACAGTCAAACTATATTTGTTCAGTCGCTCTCCCTTCAAGGTCAAACCTGAGAACATGTCAAACTGTCCTGGATGTCTGTAATTTAACAGCCTGACATGGCTGGAGTCCACACAGGAGTGCTCCTGATGGCCCCCAAATGAAGGTGCTGCCTAAGAAAGAGTGCTCTTAACTCTAAACTGGACCATTTTCCCAAGAGGAAAAGTCAGGACGGAGGAATACTTGACGATACTCGTGATCGACTGTCAGAAAAGAAGACAGCTGACAAAACAATGTTTGGAAACAGGTGAGATGGAGGAGACATGATGCAGAAGAGGGAAGACAAACACGCATTTATTTCACATCAGTATCAGAATATCTGTATCGATGTTTGCCACTTATCTTTCGGAAAAAGAGGAGATGAATATGTTTCAAGTGTGAATTAATTTTTTTAATGGCCCTCGATTTATTAATTAATTAATAATTAATTTGAATAACTCTCATGGTTAAAATAGTTGTAGATACTTGATTAAGGTGAAGTCAAGCAAAAAAGAAAAACAAAACAGCCAAGAATTTAATTTATCTTGATTTGAAATCAGATTTTTGAGGATATAAGTTGTATGAAGAGCTATAGATCCATAATATATAGCTTGTTTAGTTCACATTATTATCATAATTCACATATCACATGAACAAACAACAACAACAAAACCAACAATGTCTTAGTCTGTCTCTAGATACTTTTTGACTTCGCTGCTTTTAAAAAAGGGTTCAGTAAATTCCTAAAACAGCCGGCGACTGCAGCAAACATCACACAAACACAAAGAAATAATGCATTTGCTGGGGACTACTTTCGGCTGTGGATGAATCCACCCAGCTCTCTTTTTGTCTTTCCTTGAGTGTAATGTTTTTTCTTTTCATAAAACATCATTTTAGTCGACCAGATGAAAAGTTTCAGTACAAAGATCTTCAATGATTGTTTATATTGATTATACTTCATTGTGAAAATGAATTTAGTGATATACTATTTCAACAACAGAAAATGACAAAAATAATGGAATAAGATAAATATATTTTAGTAAAAAGTAAAGACACCCTCATTGATTCTGTTCCTTTCCACCTTTGGTTTTATCCACATATTTACAGTTTTATTATCTTTCTTATCTTCCTCTCTCCCTCTTATATCCCGTGACTGGTTTGTCTTTGGGAAGCAGGTCTCATGGTGCATTAGAGTGTTCGCCAAGGAAGTTGTGGATTCAAGTTGCAACTGATTTTTATGTAAAACTTATAAAGAATCTACATAAATCTACTAAAATATATTGACTGTACATTTTGAATTAGTCATCTCATTCACTCAAGTCAAAGTAGATCCAAAATAAGAAATAGAAAGATAAATACACCACACATTCTTGGTTTTGACTCTTGTAAGGACACTGGTTGTGTCTGAAATCACTCACTCACTCACTCCTCCCTCCTCTCTATCCAGGGAGTTCTCTGCAGAGGCCTGAACAGTGAGCTCATCTGTATATTGAAAAAACACTTTTGGACACTACTCGGGTCATTTTCTCTGCACCGTTCTTCTGTCTATCAGTGAGTGCAATGCATGATGGTATATATTGCTTAGTTAGTGACCATCAGTTGTACACTACTTTTCGTGATGCATTGTGGGATACAATGAGCCTGCTGGTTAGGGTATAATATTTCTCACTATACATTCGGACAGCACTACAAAATGGTGTACTCACTATATAGTGGACTATATATGGAGTAGTGAGTGATTTCAGACACACCCACTGTCTTGACTCATTTATTGTCTGAGGGCTAACCCCCTCACTGTAACACATACATGATGAAACCCAACCACCCTCACAAAACCTACCTTATTCATACTTTATTATATCTTGATTCTACCTTAACTCTAAAACCAAGTGGTTAACGTTGTGGGGACCTAACGTTTGTCCCCAAATGGTGGCCAAGTCCCCACAAGGTATGTGCACAAATCTTTGTTACCACAGGACCATTAAAACACAGACTGACCTGCCCTGGTGGAGTGGTTGTTCTCCTCCTGTTTGAGGATCTGGTTGCATTCTTCCTGAGCTTTCATGTGCTGAGCCACCAGGGCGCAGTCTGGGTGGATGGCCTCCGTCTGAGGAACAGAGAGAAAGAGATCAACAACACAGTTCAGCAACACAGCAGCGATGACTCTGCAGGCACATTAAGCACAACTACACTGGGAGTGTCGACACCAATATTCAAGAGCTCATATAGTAAAGAGGCAGATGTCCATGTGTTGTTTGATTATAAAGCAGGTTTAGTTTATATATTAATACTGAGAAAGTATCAAAGCGCTCAGTCCACAGAGACATGCACACAGCCTGTATTCAGAAACTGAGCCTCAAAACCAGCTGTCAGGACTTCTGTAACTTTGTGATGTCACAACAAAGCAGTCACTGTCCTCAGTTATGCCCCAAGCCCCGCCCACCTGGACTCACCATCCAACCTTGCAGGATTTGGTTTCTCTGAGAGTTTACCTGAAATGTTTTTACCTTATTTTTTATTGGATCACTCAGAAAACAGTGAGCCAATCAGAAGAGACTTCTCTCTTCTGATTGGCTCACCGACCTGTTGTTACTAGAGCTCCAGAGAGAAGCCTGAGAGAGGAGATGTAAAACTACATTGAGATTGGTTTTGGTTCTTAAAACCACAAATATATCTTCTTATGGATCAACACTTTAATAAAACACTGGAAACGTGAAATATGGAGTTTTAACACAGAAGTCAGCAGCCATCACTGGATTATTATGCCTGACAGAAATAATGTCAGAGCCAAAAAAATATCTGTATATCTCACTCCAAGAAATGGGAAGTATCGGTAATACTGTAATATAAATCAAATGAAAGAAAAATAACAACAGCGTACTCATGTGAATGTGATATTTCAGTTTTTCCTATTTAATAAATTTGCAAATAAAATTCTGTCTTTGCTTTGTCATTAGGCGAATTGAGTGTTGATTGTTTTAGCAACATAAGAAAAAACGAAAAACAAAAGCCATGTGAAGACCCTGAGGATGTTGGCGGTTCCCCTCCAGCGATGAACCTCTCTACGGTAATGAGCACCACTGTCAGCTGAAACGTGGGAGTTCTCCCTGACATCTACTGACAGGGCTCCTCTGCCTTTCACGCCCTCTGCAGAACATGAAGAACAGTGGGACCCATACAGGCCTAATAATCAACTTATAAAATGAATGAATTCACATATGAAGAAAAAATATAGATTTTAGAAGGACTTCCACCTTGTAGCTAAATTTAATTTGTGCAGTGATGTCGCACAATTGATTTACTATGCTGTCAGGTGAAAAAAGAAATCCCTGTAATTACCTTGAAGGTGTCTAATTGATTTCTCTGGTGGATGTATTTGGTTTGAAATGTGAGAGCTATCACAGGCAGAACGCCCACCTGTTGGACAGATGGAGACGCTGCAGGTGAACGTGAAACTTTGACCCCGTGCTCTCGCAGCGCTGCAGCATCCAGGATTAACACGCTCTCTGCTATTGGACAGAAACACCTCCTGGCCTGTTGCAGGACATTTTACCATACAGTTGTCAAGTTGTTGTTGCTCTCCATATGTCATGTTTTTGTCCAAACATACGCTGATGTACAACTTGTAAACATGTTTTGAACTGTAATCTGAACTGAAATATATTTTCTTTTTCTTTCTTTTTTTTATCAATCTAATGATCTAACTGAACATTTCCCTGTTATCTCTCTGTTGACAACCTAATGAAAGGCATGAAATGTCAAAAAAAATACATTTAAAAAAGAATGATCAAGATTTTTGTGGTTGTTTAAGCAACTCAAAGCTCCAGGTAAATAGGCAAATGTGCAAAAAGTCAGATGTGTTTTTACCGCTTCAACATTTAACCCAAACTACAAGTGTTTCAGAAGCCTAAAACTAACCACAATGAGGAGGCAGCACACAAAGCCAAAGTGTCAAAGTCCTGCACTTTAAACACCCACAGTGTCACAGTTCAGTTATTCATTCTGTGCTTGTCTTTGCCATTTTCTCCAACTTTCTGGTCACCTGATTCCCCCACGTCCTCCTCCTCCTCACCTCCCACATGTCTTCATTTGCACCCTACTATATACACACTGGTCTATTTCCCAGATTGTCTATCGTCCCGTCACAGTTGTGTCTTTCCAGAATTGTTTTTGTCCCTGCCTGTTTGCCTGCCAGTATTTGGCCTCCTGCATGTATTTGGACATTTTGCCTGATTTTACCACCTGCTGACTTCACTCCTCACTGAGCTGTCTCCTGCTCTTGTCTGCGCTATAATGAAGGTGACCGATTTTAACGTTTTTAATCGTGTGTGTCTCAGAGTCGTGCATTTGAGTCCTGTGAACTCTGAGCCGTGACACCTTCACCACCTCCCTACGACTCCCTACGCACCAAATGTATTTGGTAAAACCATTTTGTTGTGTGTGTACAACGTAATTTTAAGATGCATCTGTTCACCTGCTCAAAGGTTACATTCAAATCCACCGCACAGTGTATCAGTGGTTTCCAGCCTTGTGACCCCTTCACACAAAACCTCCCCACTTCCCATTTACATCTGATATTAACATGTGATATGGATACTGGCCTGTGATTGGATAATGATATGATCACTGGCCTTTGCACTGATACCTGGCATTGATAAACCTGTTCAGTGTCTCCATTTTGCTCACATGTGATCAGATCTATCAGTGATCAGATACTGGCGCTGAGTATGGGGTAGTATGTGGGTTTTTAGGTAGGCGGTCTTTGGGTAGGTTTTTTCTGTACGGGCTGATATGTGATCACAATTTGAATTAAACCACCTTGAGATATCTGAGAGCATTTACACTTTGCATTAACATGCATTTTTCCTCATCCATGTTAAGATATCCCAGGGGACTGTTTCACTAAATTTGCTACATGCAAGTTGTAATTTCCAACATGAGATAATATCCTCTCACAAATCTAAACACTCTTCACTCTTGAAAACAAATGCCACACTTGCAAACTGTGTTAGAGCATTCAAGAGCCGTGTAGGACTTACTAATGCCACCATTTATCATCTGCAGTGTAAGCATCACTCACAAGCTGCTTCTGTGAGACTTTCCCCTGACAAAGATGCAGGTAAAATGACAGGATTAAACTAAACAATAAAAACTAAAAGTAAACAAGCAAAATTCTGAGAAAAGTCTGAGAAAAGTGTTGTTTGTGTTTCCAAAACTGGTAATGATCTTGAAACCCTCATTTTGGAGGTTCCAACTCTTAGGTCAGGATCTACTGCCTTATACAGTAAGTGGAGGCCTTCTGATAAATAACCCCATCATCTCATGACAAAACACAGACTAATATATTTGGATGGGGCTGTAAGAGCAACATGAAAGATGACAGAGACACCCAACAGTTCTAAATTAAATACTTTCATTTTCTATTTTAAGGACTATCTGATAAATCCACAGTGTAATCTAAACACATGATATGAGGAGGATTTACTGTGGGAGGGCTAAATGTTTCCACAGTGTATTTAAACAGTGTGGCCCATAAACTCCTTTATCATTAATAGTTTATACCTACAGCAGTGACAAATGAGCCTGTGTAGCTGAAACAGCTCAGTCTGGCAGCTTGATCTGGCGACACAGCCTCACCGTGACAAGACAAGCACAGTCATACCTGCTCTGCAGGTTTATGGAACAAATCTCCTTTATACAAGCAAGATAGCAGGACAACGCCTGGTCTCTGGAAGCCACATAACATGTAATTTTACAGTTTAGTGATGTGCAGAGAATCTGGTGTAGCTCATGATGAGGTGCATAGCCTGGCAAATGTTTTCCTAAACTGCAACAGCAATGGATTATGTTCAGAAGCAGTAATTTTTTTTGTTGAATGAAGCTACATTTATTAACAGCAGAGTGTTGCAAAGCAGTTTTGTTAAGGATAGAGGAAGACGGTGGTTGAGTTTAAAGGTCCCATATTTTCCTCTTCTCCTGTGTTTTATTTGAAGTGTTGATCCATAAGAAGATATATTTGTGGTTTTAAGAACCAAACACCATCTCAGTGTAGTTTTACATCTCCTCTCTCAGGCTTCTCTCTGGAGCTCTAGTAACAACAGGTCGGTGAGCCAATCAGAAGAGAGGAGGCTCTGAGCCTCTCTTCTGATTGGCTGACTGTTTTCTTTGTGATCCAATAAAAATATAGCAGATTTCAGGTAAACACTCAGTGAAACCAAATCCTGCAAGGTTAGATGGTCCAGGTGGGTGGGGCTTGGGGCGTGGCTGAGTAGGTGCCTGCTTTGTTGTGACATCACAAAGTTCCAGAAGTCCTGACGGCTGGTTTTAAGGCTCAGTGTCTGAATACAGGCTGTGTGCATTTCTCTGTGGACTGAGCGCTTTGATACTTTCACAGTATTAATATAGAACCTAGACCTGCTTTATAATCAAACAACACATGGACCTCTACCTTTAACCTTAACCAAGTACTGTCACTGCCTTAACATAACCTTAAAAAAAAATGTATGTGTATATATATATATTTGATTTGCCACATACATAAATTAACAAATCTTAATTATGTTAATATAAAACCAGCTACATATTTGCTGTTGCGGTTTAGTTGTATATAAACGTCAGTTCTAGGAGACAGGGTTGTAACTTCATAGATGCAGAATGATGAGATCAGATTGTGTAAATGTGTGTGTGATGGTTGAAGAGCTCGAGTGCCATTTGAGCGCGCACTTTAATTATTGGAAGTCTCGATCCTAAATGGCAACAGTTTACGTGGCAGCGGTGCCATTTAAATTCAATCACCGTCTTAACCGGGTCATTATCGCAGGGCGCCGGTCGCCCCCGGCCAACGTTTATCCAGCTGCCATCATTTACATTTAAGATTTCATAGTGATACAAAAGGAAAGGTAATCACCTGATCTCTGATGTCATTACAGTTTGTGTGTGCGTGTGTATGTGTGTGTGTGTGTGTGTGTGTGTGTGTGTGTGTGTGTGTGTGTTGGTCCTGTAATAATTTCAATCCACATTGTACCTCCAGGTTGAATTTCTTATAATTTTGCCACTGATGATACACAGGTGTATCAGACCGCTCCTCTGTTAGCTCCTCGGGGTCTGCAGTAATTTTCTGCACAATAACAATAAATGCTAATACAATACATGTGATTTGACTGATTTAAGAGTCTTTGGCCTCACAGCGCACAGGGGACACGTTTGCACTTTGCACAACATGGATAGAAATCTTGAAATCTCTCTGACTACAGACTCTGTAAACCACAACCCTACAAGTCCACATTGTGTTAGATGGGTCTGATAAAGTTTTGGTATTTGTGTCAGACTGTGTGATATCATTCCTACGTCATGTCATATGGTGAATTGAAGCACTAAAATGTGGAGAATTTATTTCAATGAATACACATGGGGACATGTGGTCCTCTCACGTCATCCAGCTGTGCAACTCTCGTGTCTTGAAATTCAGCACAGCAACAAATAAGAATCAGAGTAGAACTGGCTCCTCTGTGTTTTATTTTGAAAAGCTTCAGAGGAAGGGGAGGAAGAGGAGGAGGGGGACAGTGTGAATCTGGTTGTGTCCAGGGAGAGGAGTTTGGGGTTGATATGTTTTTTTTTAGCAGCAGCATTATGTTAGTTTGTTAGTGTGGGTCACTGCCGCTCACACTGGAGGTTTTGGGCCTAAATTTTTGATATAGTCAGAGTTTGAACGGAGCCAGATTCACTCTCTTCCCCTGTGTGACAGTGTGATCTCAGGCCGCTGCTTTTGATTGACCACAAATTATTTTTTTTGCTATGTTGCTCTCAGGATTGCCAACTTTTGTCTGGGACAGTGTGTGTGTTCAGAACGTGTACAAACTAATCTCTATAAACAAATTTTCAAAGTGGACTCGTTACACTGAATAACTATCATCACTGAATGAGTCAGTAGCTTTTAGCTGGGAAGCTCCAGTTACTGGTGACTGAGAGCGCTGGTGTCAGCTCAACTGTGATTCACAGTGTGTTACATCCTTATTAAAAGCGTATTAAAAGACTGCGAATACCACAGAGACGATCATAATCTGATAACTCTGTCGAAAATAATAGGCCGCTGAGTTATTGACCTTATGTGCAGAGCTTGTATAGGCTACTGTTGTACTGAACTGAACCGGTCAGGCTGGATGAATCGTGATGTGTTCACGTACCTCTGTACGTACCTGTGAACAGTGTTATGTCTGCTTAGTTTAGGAATAAAAGGGAACAAACTACAGGGTAAGAGACTACAAATCTTTGACTTGAACTCAACTAAGTTATTCAAATCTGAAAAGTGATTCCGGACCCCCGCTCAAAATCTCACATATGGTTTATAACAATTTAGTTTCTATCGGTTATGAAACATTATACTGAACAAAGTAATTGTTGAGATCTGGGATCGCGGCACCGTCACTACAACAGAGTCCAGTGTGTTAAGAAAACACGAGCAGTCAGATGATGAAACATGTTGTAAATCACTTTATTTGGGGATCAGACTGCAACTGGGCGCTCCTGAAATGTTGCTAATAATCAGAGGAAAATCAGGCAAATGCCCCTTATATTGGCACATTTTGCAATGACAATTATAAACCACCTCAAACCTTCTATAAAGACACTACACACCAAAACCCAAAACCCCTATAAGTGGAGCCCCTGATGAGTCTACCCACATGTTCAAAGACCATCTGTTAATTGTGGTGTGTACCAATAGTCTGCATGTGAGGCGTTTAGGAGACATCTGCATATTGTAATGTCTACTGATAGTCTGCATGTGAGGCAAAATTGAAATGAGTCATTATTTTACTGTTTGCCTTGGTTTTCTCATCCAAATAAGTTTGGCTTAGCTGAGGGTTTGTGAAAAACTAAGGCCAGACCAGAGCTGGATTTCTGAAGCTGATACGTATCAATGGTGTAATTGGGTTAAAAAAAATCTTATTACAATGGCAGGAACAACCTAGGGATCCTTTCATTTGTAACCATGAAAATAAGAACTTGGCGACATTTTCCAGTTGAAAAATAAACTTAGAGTAACTCAAACAAAACTTTGGCATTTCTGCACTGAAATTTCTTGTTACATATACAGTCCAAATACACACTAATACTTTTGTTTCCTTGTGTGGCTAAAACTGCTGCTAAAGCAACATAAAGTCAAAGCTTGAGAGCATCTCCCTAACACCAAATCACTCCTTCCATTTCCGGACACTGGAACTCTTCCTCCTTTTGTTTCCATCAACTGGATTACTGACACTCATTCGCCCCAAAAAAATCAATTGAACAAAACATGGCCTCCACCAGAGCAGGGCACTCACAGGATCCAGAAGAGCTGGAGCGCATTTCCACCATCTTGGCCTCTCTGCTCTGGTTACCTGTGGCCTTTAAAATTGATTTTAAGGTTTTACGGCTTGTTTTTGAGGAGGTCTTGCCTCGGGCTGCAGACAGAGGGCTAGTGGGTCATTTTTGACGTCACGCATCAAAAGCAACTGGGAGCATCTTCTGCTGGAGATCAGAGGAAAAGCCTTTTTGCAAACTCCATCAGCTTTTATTAAGTTTCTACAAGTGTAGTGACATAGATTTACTCAAGTACTGCACGTAACTTGATATTTGAGGTACTTGGACTTGAGTATTTCTTATTTTTATCACTTATACTGCTCCACTATAGCTCCAATTACATTGCAAATTAAGATTTTACATATGATGATCTTATAAATGATGCATTGTTACAGATTATAACTATATATAAGGCAGTAAAAGTAGCTCCACTTCCACCAAGAACAGCAAGATGCTGTTTAGCACAAGTAGAGGTCCGGAGGGAACCATTAAAGCTGCACTACTCAATATCCTTATATTAACAATGGATCAAATGACAATGTGTAACATGAAATGTACCACTCATAGTATCAAACCCACACACTAAATCACTCCTGCATCACTCTGACGCAATTACAGAGACCCAGCAGGTCAGGAAGTGAGATCACACATCCATCTTTCTATTACCAAAAGAGAGGGTAAAATGAGCACTTCAGCAAGTCCTGATACCAATCACAAAGTACAGCGGAGTCACTGGAGGAAGGAACTAATAAAGGAAAGGACGACAAAGGATCATTAACAGCCTTCAGGATCAGGAAGGACACGTCACAGATCCCAGATCCTCCATCCTGAGGTGAGCGCGCAGCTGGTGGCGTCAAATCCAGATTCAAGTAAGGATAAAATGGAATAAGAAATGAATATTCTTCACTCTGCATTATTTGAATTTCAAACAAGCATTTGTTCATATACAGAAAATATATATATATATTAATGCTTTCTCTTTGCTGCTGTCCGTCTGGAGCCAAAGGCAGCAGAGTCAAGTGAGTGTCCAGTATTAATGGAGTCACAGGAGACGCCACTGGATCTGTTTTTATTTATTTAATATTTATTTGAGGTATGTGTGTGTTTTCATCACTAGTTGATAGTTGAAGGTTTCTTATGTTTCATTTATAAAATAAAATTATGATTTTTCTCAGTGAGAAAGCAAAAGTCAAGTTGAGTGAGAAAAGTCAGGAACATGAAAAGGGCATCAATCTTTCTGAACAGCTGATCATTAGATTAAAAATGAAGCATCCGTCATTGAAATCAAGTGATCCCCGGGGATTTGACACCACTCAGGACAAATTAGTCATCCTTCAGGTAATTATGATCATAATTCAATCCAGACTCATCAGATAAAAGCAAAACAAAACATCAGAGCAGCAGGTCGATAACTGCAGAAACCAGCTGCTCATTTACACTGTGTTTGTGTTTGTGTTTGTGTTTGTGAGCGCACAAACATCTCCTCCATCTTTAATCCTTTCAATGTGAAATCAGCTGTAACATCAGATAATTCATTAGCACTTGCGTATGAAGTATCACCAGTTGTACAACAATAGACCAACACAGTAAAATATAAATCAACAAACTGTGTAAAACTTGCTTAAAATAAAAAAACATCTAAACCTTTTAACCCCTTTTATGCCAGAGTGACCCCTTAAAGAGATGTATAGAGAAAACATGTGGATGTGTGGACAGTTACTTGTGCAGTAATGCCCAAATATAATAAAGAAGAAAGTGATGTGTGGATAAATAAATACACAAACGTGCAAACAACCGACATCTGGTAAATATTCAATATTTAAAGTAGTAATTACTATTTTAACTTTATTATTAGTGCTGAGTAATTTCAATTATTTGAATTAATCCTATATGCCTTTAAACTCATCTGACTATCTCACTGTCAAAACCAGGAGAAACTATGATGTAATGATCCTCCACATCTTGATCCAAACTGACACATGCAAATGCAGAGTTTTATTTTAACCAAAAATAATAGCAGTCCTGAACAGCCCACACGAAAACTGACTGTTATCAGAAACCTCATCAGATCCAGGAGGAGAACTTGGATGTGTCCACTCACCGTTTCCCAAAGCGCCAGCTGCAGGAACAGACCCAGGTGAAGCAGTGTAGTCGTGCGTCTCATCCACGATCCTCCAGAGATGAATACACTCTGCAGCAACATCTTCACGCTTCGCTCACTTTGGAAAGTCCGCACACACAAAAAAACAAAAAACAAAAGAAGAAATATCTCGGAGGATAATATCAATCTTTTAATAATATAAATTTATGTCCTTGTTCAATTTCCACAACTGGCAGCGATCCATGAACTGAGCCGCTTGTAGGCAGTTTGCCGGTATGGACGTGTTGGCGGGTGTCTCTCCGGTGTCCGGTGTGTGCAGGAGGAGAAGGTCCGCATTAGCGGAGCAGAGCCCGGACTCGACTGAGCCAAACATGGTGCGCTCCTCCCCTGAAAAGGCAAAGACGGAGCGGCGCGCACAGACGCGGCAGCGGCGCACAGCTGCACGCTGACACACGAGAGAGGACGGAATAAACCTTTATGTGCTGGAATCCCAGGGAGCGGAGCGGGTGACTTTAAAGTGGTCACATTGTTAAATAGGTTTACTTTATGTGATGGTTATGATCTGGTTAATCGAACTTGAGGTTTTTTGGTTGCAGTGAATGCTCGCACTTAATGAACCATGTTTTCACAACCAATACCACATAAATATTTTCAAAGCTGAATTCATTAGCAATAAAAAACAAGATTGATTAACACACACACACACACACACACCACCACCACCACCACCACCACCCTTTGTCATGTTGCCTGATGCTACTGTTGTATGGTGCTCTTGCAGTTCTGTTTCATTACTCAGGACACTTCATATAAACAGTGAGAGTAAACATAAACAGTGCAGGCTGACAGCAGCCCACAGAGCACTACTGTGTGTGTCACTGTGTTTGTGTATGTGTGTGTGTGTGTGTGTGTGTGTGTGTGCTGGAGACACCTTGCAGAGGTCAATCGATGACAGACGGTGCCTTTGGCTTCTTCCAACAGACCACCAACTCTGAAGTTTCCTGCAGACAGCAGCACCTGTGACCAGGTGGGGGCGTGGGGGGTGGGGGGTGTGGGTGTGTGTGTGTGTGTGTGTGTGTGTGTGTGTGTGTGTGTGTGTGTGTTAGTTAGTTAGCTTTCTTAGTATTTAGTTATAGTATATAGTTATAGTTGGTGGTTTACCCCTTTGAGTGTTATTTGGTTCGTCCAAGTCACTATTTATGTTCCCTCATGTCTCATACTCCAGACTAACACACTTGAAAATGCATACATACCTGAGCAATCGCATACACTAGGCATTCATGAGCCAGTGTAAACAGGAAGCAGATTGTCTACTCTGCAGTCGTTGCAAAAAATACTGCAAACGAGGAAACGAAAACATAGTAATGTGGATGTTTTGGGTTTGTTCAATTAACACCCAATTTAGTTGATATCTTATGTATAGTTATCTTTTATTGACCATCTTTTATAGGCCCAATTAAACTGCTCTTGTTTTGTAGCATTTGTGTAAATAAAACTCCTGTTTTTTGAACAACAATTCCTGTGTTCTTGTTGCCTCACTGCTTGGTCTCTAACAGTTCGACAAACCAACACTGTCTGTTGGTAAAAGACAAGGACATGTGTCACTTTCCTAAAGCTGTTTCAATCATCACCTTCTTATTCACTTCTTCTCTGCTCCCTACAGAATTAGAATTACCACCTCGTGGTTGTTTGCCTCTGCCAACCAATCAGGTCACAGTTTACATCCATGTTTGTCCAGGCTCATTATATATGTAGTGAAGACTTGACTATGATGTCACAGTGAGTGAAGTTGACCCTTGACCTTTTGGATATTAGATGTCATCACCTGTTCACATCATTTTATCCTTTTAGACATGTGTGTAATATCATTATAATTAGCAAATTAATTCTTAGGTGTTTTGTGAGGTCACAGTGACCTTTGACCTCTGATAACCAAAATCTACCCAGTTGATTTAGTAGATTTCTGCCTACCCAAGCTTTAAGTAAATATAGACCACTGTGTAGCGAACAGGGAGTAACAGCTGACTGTGCAGCTGCATAAGTTAAAGTTAACTAGTGAACTAAAGATACTTGTCGGTTAAAATGATAAACTGTATTTTAAAATGGTTACAAGAAGCAGAACCAGACAAAAACCTACTAAGTGACACAGCATATTCAGAATGATCCTCAATTTGCATATACAAGAAGACTTTATTCTAACAGTTGTCCAGGACCTAATGGGTTACAACTAGGAGGCCTCACTGGAACATCCCTGGCGAAGAAGCTGAAACAGTGGCCACAGTTCGCGAACTCATCAGAGCGCAGCATCTTCCCAAAGCAAACAAAGTGACAGGACACATACCTCTGCAGCAGGAACTTAGAGACCTGCATCTATGACACACGGCAGGAGCAAGAGGAAGCCATGAAGCTAACAGCTGTATGAAACATTGCCTGACTCTGATGTAGCCCCTCATCAGCTCCTTGTTTCCTATCAATCAAAGAGCAGTGAGGGGGGAATTGTTTCCCAGAGTCTGTCATATCTAACATATTACACTGTCATATTAACTATGCTGCATCCTTTTATATATAAACCTGCTCTTATGAGAAAATATACACACTCCCTGTGAGGGTGAAGGAAGGCCAAATACCAAATTCAGACCACTGGAGCTAAAGCTGTGAACTGCATTTCCCATGTATGTTTGCATGACAAAGCACAGACATGCATAGAGCCTTCTTCTCACTATATAACCATGGAGCAGAACCTCCACCTTTGTAGCCACTTCGCATTATGAACGAAACCAGCCACGCCCAATGGCAGCTGCTGCAAAACCCACAAGGAGTCACTGTGTTACCCGTCTGTCAGCACAGAAAAGGAATATTGCTGTGACTTTCTGGTTTGTGAGGAGTGCTCATATGATTGTATGTCAGGACAAAGTAAACATAAAACTATTTTGGTCCCTATAGCTAATTTCCTTTATTTATTCGCCCATTTTTGGATTAGCCGGGAATTAGGGGCGGTATCAGGTGCTGCCAAGATGGCAACAGTGAAGCAGCTCACTCTGAGCTTCAAAACCAAAAAGTTACAGAAATGTTCAGTCACAGCCTCCTACACTGACGTCAGGAAGGTGAGGGGCGAGGGAGTTTTAGAGGTTATCCAACCATCAGAACAAGACTTCTGATGGAGTATCCTGGCCCCTTTAGCAAAAAGGAATGACTGTAAATCAATATAATGTCCTCACAGTTATCGTAGCAAATGTGTATAATAATGTATTAAGTAGATTGACTCATCCCATCTGAATCTGTTTGACTTTGACTCAGGAACAAACTGTTCTCCTCTCTGTTCCTTTCACATCTGATGTCCCAGTTAAATCACAACACATTATTTTTCTATTATGACAAACCACCGGATATTTGCTTGTATGTACAAGGTGATTTATTCAAGCTCTACACAACAGAACACTTCTCAGGATGCAATGTCAATAACACCAAAATCATCTGAAGGAGATGATGTCATAAAATATGTAACTCACTCACTCTGAAGCACAGATAATGTATATTTATCATAAATGTTGTTGAATAAGGTAGCAGTTTATAAAATGGCAAATAATTAAATTAGTCATAATTTTTCATAGTAAAAACTGAAACTGTCACCAGTCGAGTTGAAGGACTCACATCATGTCCATGAGTCCAACCTGATGAAGCTTAAATTGTGTTTAAATGGAATCTACTGTCTTCACATTTAAAAGAGCCAGAAAAGTCAGTAACTGTCGCACTTTAACACAAGTTTAAACATATGATCCAGAAGCTGCTCCAACAATTGTTTTTACAGCTCAAGATGCTTAGGTGGATGGATGGATGGATGGATGGATGGATGGATGGATGGATGGATGGATGGATGGATGGATGGATGGATGATTTTTTTCTGTAAATGAGATATTAAAATACATAAAGACAAAATAAGTACAATTACATATCAACATAAAATGTCAGCACTAACAGTAATAAACTCAAGTTAATCACCCATTATCTCCTTCACTTTCAGGGTATAAAACATAGGAATCTATTCAAACATAATACAAATAGTCATAGCCATCCAACAGTAAAATGCTAACCAAATAACTGCTATAATTTCAACCAAATAAAATAGACTAGACAAAACAACAGAAGGTTTGAAAAGTCCATTCTTCAACTCACAGTAGTTCTCTTTATTCTTAGTAGTTTGGAGGGAAAGGGCTTTGCAGACAGAAGGGCGGGGTTACATAACTTCCTGGGTGTGGGTAATAGGATGACAGGTGATTTCAGATGAGGCAGGGTATTAAACTTGTGATTTAACACTAGTTTTTATATGATTAGTGATTATAAGTAATGTTTTGAGTGTGATCACTCACAGTCTCACCTCCAAACTGGTTTAATCTGGTTAAATATGAGGTTTGTATGGTGATCTGAAGTCGTTCTGGGCTGTGTGTGTTCAGATGCCATGTTGGAATTCATGATGTCGTTGTGTCTCCAGATTTCAGCAGTTAATTTAATGAGCATAATGTTCATGTAACTGGTAGAAATGATGGTCAGAACTACATAAAATAAGACTAAGCTATCACAATGAATGGGACGACCTCTGACCTGGACCCCTGCTGCTGTGTTAGACCTACAGCCGACCTCTTCTCTGTTTGTCCCGATCTGTTCCTTCCTGGGTTGGTGCTGGCCTCCAAACAGCATTCCTCTGTACAGTGTATTTATGCGTGTGTGTGTGTGCGTGTATGTGTGTGTGTGTGTGTGTGTGTGTGTGTGTTGTCACTGCTGGACACCTGCTGTTTGCAGCTGCATGTCCCCAGACGGCTTACAGAGACGAAGAAGACAGAGACAGAGAAGGCTCTGAACCCTTGGACAGAAGCTGATGGATCAGACCGGTCCAGATGTGTCACGTATTTTCTCATTACCTCCTCAGGACGTCATCACTGCTCTCATCCGAGGAAAAACAAGACAAAGCGCTAAGTTGTTATGTGTCATCATCAAAAAGATAAAAATTACTTCCGCAGCACTTTCTTCTTCTGCCAAATTACTGGTTTGTGCATTGTCTTATATTCTACAAATAAAGCTTGTTTTCCACCAGGTTTCACGTTTTTTTAGTCTTTGACATTCAGGACCAAGCATATAACTTCACGATCCGCAACTGTTCTTGTATCTGAACAACCATGGACGCCAAGGAGCAGCTTGAACTGTTTACATGCAGCGATATTTGTGCTGAATAGATAAGAAAAGGAGGAGATGGAGGAGTTCCATCAGAGATCCTGGATGGACTGTCGAGCCTACAACTTCAGGTAAGGCTGTTTCATTATTGTTATGTCATAACATCATTGGTCGCTGATGTCAATCGAAAATATGAAACATTTTTGATTTAAGATTAAAACATTCTTAAATAAGATATGACTTTCTTGAATTGCCTGCATACACAATGAACTTTGAATTGATGCTGTCAAAGTTTCTATATGTAGGATTTTAAACTTTTCAATCTGATGCCCCCTAGTGGTCATATGAAAAAAGATATCAACTTAGAAACCAAATTAAACGACAAAATACATAGTTTGTCCACACAGCGTCATTTGTTTGTGTCTTCCAAAGCATGAAAAATATCAGGTTAATGACGTGACAATAGGATGATTTGAATAGGTTTAGGCACAAAAATGACTTGTTGTGACTGATGACTGATAAGTTTGGGAAAACCTCTATCGCCATGGTTACAATAACAAACACACGGTTAAGGTTGTGGTTAAAAGAAAACAATGCTGATTGTCAGTTAGGAACGGGAAGTAAACACCAGTTTCCTGTTGACCCACCCACCCACCTTGACCTCCTCCCTATGTGGACATTGTCATTCTATAACAACAGGTGTGTTTTCATTAATCTGCTTAATGCGCAATTTGAAATTGCAAACCTACAAATGCGTAATGGAAACATGAATCTGGAAAAAACTCTCTACCAAATTTCATGGTGATCAGTTAGAACCAAAAATGTCAACCTGGGAGACTGTCCTGTAAAAAACAAAGCCATAGGTCGTTTGTGCAGCAGGTTATTGTGACCCATGGTTACATTTTGTTGCTAGGCGACTTCTGGTGGTTGTAGCATTTATGACAGGAGACAAAGTCCAAATTAGCAATAGGTTGGGGTGGATTGATGGGTCAACAAAACACAGAAATATGACACAGGAGAGTGGTGTTTCGATTCCCATGTGAGACTAGCTGTTTTATAACCATGACAACAAAGACCATGTTATGTTTAGGAAGGAATCTATTCCTAAAACTAACCAAGTACCTTTTGTTTGTAAACCTAATTGAGACATGACTTTTATTATAGTAACCATGGCGACAAAGGCAGGTACGCCACAGTCAGTACGCGTATGCATGTTTATTATTGTAACCATGACAACTGAGATCCAGTATGCCTGCCGCCGTGGTGGCACTATTGCAGGAGACACTCCTATGGGTCGTATCACAGGTTTGAAAATTACCTGATGGTTGTTCAGGAAGGAGGACTGGTTGCAACCTGGTGGTGACTCTAACCAATGTCAGCAGGATTCAACCTCTGGGGAACATGACTGCAACAAACTAAATTGTGTACTCTTACTTGTTTTCTTTTACTACAAATAAAAACTTACCATCAAAATCATTTGAAATGAAGTGGAAGGGCTCTTTTCATTTCAAGTCATTTCAAGTCAGAGGTCTCGTGTTTTGCATCCTGCTGCTTCGCAGAGACAAGAGGCCACTAATGTCAGTGTGTAACCAGCTGTGGCCAGATGATGAGCTCAGGGAGAGTCAATACTGAATCACAGCCTTCAGACAAAAACAAGACACTGACACGTGATTGAGCCTTGAGTGCTTCAGCATGGATGTCCTGAAGAAACCAACCACAAAGTGAAGAGACAGTGTAGGAACTCGGTTCCTTTCACAGTAAAAGCCCCCCCTGCTCATTATGCACAACATACCTACATGTGTGCGCGCTACACATGTGCATCTTCTGCACGTCCACACGTCCCTGTTGTCTTGTGTTGATGCGGTGAAGGTGTGACGTCTGGAAGATCGCTGCTGCTGGCAACGCCTGTGACAGACGTTTCATTGACACACAGGACGTGATAACCTTCAGACTCTCCTCTGGATATTTTATGACGATGATTTAAATGATAATTGTGAAGATTGGCCGAGCAGCCAGACACATGAAAGAGAAGTTCAGCAGTCCAAGTGAAATTTATTTTTAGCAGTGGAGTCCCATGCAGATATTTACAGCAAAAAGAAAGAGAATGGCTGGCCAAACATGAAGAAAAAAACTAACAAAAATTAACGAAAAGGAATTTGCTTAGGAGTTAAAAAAAACAAAAAAAATTCTGAACTGCACTTTTG